GTCACGGCTGTGAACCTCCCGGATCGCTGCGTCGAGAGCAGTCCAGAAGGAGTCCTTGGCGTTAACATCACCGCCCGCGGTGGTGCGGACAGTTTCCGTGGGGGCGTACCCCACCACGAAAGTTACTCCGCAGGTGCGGCCAATTTGTAGACGCACCTTCATCAGCCTCGGGCTAATGCACTCCACCGTCCTACCTTCCTCGCCCACACTCTCCCACATGGCCTCCTTGATCGCTATGCCCACACCGTGTACGCCCCTCTTGTCCTTGGTGCCAGCACGGGCGCCACTCCAAATGATCACGTACCCGTCGTGTGCAATTGAGCCTTGCCCCGCTCGTCGGGTCTCCTGAAGTCCTATCACATCACAGCCGGTCGCGGAACAAATCTGCATGACCGTCATCACGTTGTGACCGATGGGGTTCCTACCGCTGTAGGCGAGCGTGTGTATTTGGCGAAGTCCTCGGGAAGTGTGTAAACGCCGATTGTGACGGGGCCGACTTGACCCGTTGCTGCGCGACCTTCGGCGGTTGCGCGAATTACCCCAAGAACGGCTGTAAGATTTCCGTGATATCACTGGCATCTCCCTGCACTACCTACCTAGTGGACATCACTCCCGGGATCCCCCGCCTCGGCGTCCCCAACCCTGCTGCGCCCAATTCGGGGTACATGACTGTTGTCGTGCAGCCACCCGTCGTTCCGTAATTTGTGACGATCTGTTACTGGGGGTGTCCCTGGTATAGTCCGTCAATCAGATTGAATTGTCGTTCGGTTCGAGGTTCTGTTTCATTTGTTTTAGCCATGGTTCACGTTAGAAACTCTTCTCACCAACTTTGGGAAAAAGACATGACACGCAAACATCACGTGACAAATTCCTCTCGAGACCAGTGAAAAGCTGCGACTTTGTATGCATTCAGCCGGTCATGCCAAAACACATAAACGTCGGAAAAAGCACGTGATACAAACATCATTTCCTCGATGCCCACGTCTCATCAGTCGTGTCTGTAGCACAAAAAAAAAACTACTTCGAAGTATCTTGGGATCGCTTCTCTAACGCGTGGCGGCGCAAGCCACCGACCCCTTATTCTGTAGACTACATATTTTTTCATAATAAAAGTACCAATACACAACTTAGTCTCGAGACTACTATCCTGTTTTTTTCTACTCGGCAATTTCAAACTGGGCGTCTTACACTCAGCTATGGTTGTAGGCTCACTTCACCCTCTGGGTATGTCCCCGGTTTTGAGTCGCTTTCTGCCCGTCCGCGCGAGTAATGAGCTATACTGCTGTGTCTTTTGGTCTACCCGGCATCGCATGCGTACGTATGTAAGTGCATTCGCTGCTGCGCGCACATGTGTCTCTCTCGAATGGACGACCGCAGAACATCTCATGTGTGGTCATGCGGCATTCTCCGCAACCTAAGGCGGTGAGTGACAAAATAGCAGCAACAGCAACCGTGTCCAGGCTCTAATATACTGCTGTAGAGGAGGGTCTGCAACAACGAACGGTACAGACTTCTTTGCAACATGCAGGTGAAGTGTCTTGCGACTGCTGTGTACATTGCTGTGTCGTACTGCTGCAGACTGCTGTAACCACGTAGTGGTACCGAGACAGCGGTGTGTACCTGATCCAGATGCCACCGAGATTCCGCAAGCTCCTGTTCTCCTGCCTCGGCTGTTGATTCCGCCTGGCAGTATTTCCGCTGGAGGATTCCAATCACAACATCCAAACTTGATCAAACTTCATGACTTCGATTTTAGCATTGTGTGCGCTCCGGGTGTCTTGGTGTCCTGACCGCTGTGCGGAGCCCCCCAGCGGAGCAAAAGCACCACCTTGCTCTTTTTTGTTGTTTTGGGAGAGAAGGGAGGACGAGCACACCCACAGCAACATGTGGAACCCGTGTTATCACAGCCTCGGCTTGGCGTCACCACTGCTACTATGCCTTCAAGGGAAAATAATGCGACCCTTCCCAAAGCAAGCAACCCAGGTACCGCTTTTGACTCACGTCCCTGACAGGAGAGCTGTAGAGATGAGATTCAAGCTAGCGTGTGCCGCTTGTCCGCGATGCGCTCACCATGTACTGCAGGTGTACGTTGGTTTGAGCCGAACTTGACTCCATGCTCTATCAAATATCACGAGTTGAGTACCGTGAGCCCGATATAACCCTACACTTTACACGACTACGATAGCGGCGTAGCGGCTGAGATGTTTAACATAACAGTCCGGGTTACGGAGGTGAACTGACTTGGAACGTCCAAAATCGGTTGAACAGAAAATTTGTCTCATTTCTGGGCCTATTTCTGAGATTTTCTGTTAAATCGAGCTTCTGGAGGCCGCCCCCCGCAGGAGTGGTTCGTCCAGTGGGTAATTGGGTGGGTTTTCTCTTGGATGCTGGAGCATTCGTGGGCTCGTGTTGCAGTTTTATATCAAGGCAACAAAACTACAGAAGTCTGACGCGTGATTTGTTCCCAACACTACTGAGAGCGTGATTTGGTTCTCAACACTTTGTACCAAGAGCGTACAAGTGGTCCATTATGCTCGCCAACCAACAGATGAAGCGGTGTGTGGAGCTAGCCCAAGGGGCGGACTACCTGCGTTTTGTGACATGAATGATTCGCTCTCCGTCATCTCTTACGGCACATACTGCTATCGTTGGGACGACTGGGTGCATGTTTCACGGCCTTTCGTTTTGCCTATGGTATGACATACATTTTTGTGCCCGTAATTTATGTAGCCAAAACGGTTCACCACAAGTGCCGATTTAACAAAAATTCTGGCTTGTCACGACCCATTGTTTAACCGTAGCCGTTACTGTATGTTACTAGAAATGGAGGGATTCTCTCCGATATTTTGTCATTACCCAGAGAGAGGAAACTGCGGGGGAGAGTCTCGTGGTGTACCTACCTATGCTGCTGTACAGTGTTTTTGTGATGAGCACCTGCTGGCATCACTGATACAATTTTGTTGTAAAGGCATTAATATACTCGAAGTAAGCCCAGTACCCAGCCGGTTTCCCTCCACCACTACAAAGACTCCAACACATCCCGGTACTGCTCTGGTTATATTTCGAATGGGTAGTCTCTCTGTGTTTGTGCTTATTTTTCCTAATAATAACCACAGGGGATGTTTTGTACAACAGATGTGTTTGTGCTTCAGTAGCACCAGCTGGTTATCATCCAGTGCATATATGTTGTAGCCTTTCAACAGACTCGAAATATGTCCAGTACCCAGCCGGTTTTCCTCCACTCATTGAAAAGACTCCAGCACATCCTGTTCGACGGTGGGTACATCTCGATGGGGTAGTCTCTCTGTGTGTGTGTTTGTTTTTCCTAATAACTGTACGTACAAGTAGTTGTTTTTGCCGGGATTTTTTTTTGTTTTCGACCTTTTCGGCACCGCCGCCACTACAGCTACATTAGTACAGGCCACCACCGTCATGTATGAAGGGACCTGCGCGTAGCTGATAGTCCTGATGTAAGTTCTTCCCACTGAAGAGACGAAGGGAAATGAGGGTGCGTGGCGTTCTGGGTAGGGAAAACAGCATTGGAAAGCACGTCCTCAGTGATCAGGCTTCTTTTTCCGATACAGCAGCAGAATAGTGGTCCCTGTAGACAGTAGTAGTGCCGGTACGAACCAGCCGATTTCAACGGCATTATAGCGGGCAGCAGGCATTCTTCAGAGTACTTAACCCCTTTGGCCCTAGGTTCCGTTTCGGCGTCAAATTGTTTTATCCACGGCAGAAAAAAATAGAGACAGAAGTGCAAAAAAGACAGCAGGGTACTTCTGTACACGCAACAGCTATCTCCACCTATAGGCCATGCGGGCAGCCCGCCACAGGGTGGTGGCATCAGACAGAGTCATAGAGGGCTGACGCGTGATCACACTGCAGCCGGTAGGCCAGGTAGCCTTGTAGACCTTGAAATGATTAGTCGTCTAGCTGCCCTAACTACTCTATTTCCAGTATTTACCGATAATGATCTATCAAATGATTAGTGAAGGGCCATAGCCAAGGGGCCTCCATGTGGAAACCATGGAACACCCCTGATTTATGTGTCAATCTTGGTCGCCGGGGGGCGGGGGGAGAGGCCTTCTTTGTCCCCGGGCGGGGACATTTTGACCAAATCCCCGGGATTTTGACATTTTTCGCGCACGTTTTTTCGCGCGCGCGCGCGGGATCCCACATAGAGCTAGTGGGAATGATGGAAAACCCCCAACCTACGCGTCAACTTGGGCGCGAGGAAAGGTGGGGTCTATAGGATATAGTATGTATGACGATACGAAAGCCTGTACATTGAAGAGTATTATTCAATGGGTTTTAGAATGCGGCACGAAAGCCTATACAATGAAGAGTATATTGGTTTTACTGTGGACACATTACATCCTGTGCAGTAGACTGCTGCATGTGAGCCACCTGTAATGGCTATCCTGCGTGTGTTACGCTGTTGGGATGGGATGGTATTGGTAAATCCTTGTTGCTGGGACGGGGTGGCAGCTGCTGGATGTTTCAATGGGATGGGGTGGATACGATCACCACGGGGTGATGGGATGGGGGGGGGTGTACTCATAGTCGTGCATGCCGTAGTCGTTAGACCATTGACCTCGCATCCTTGCAAAGCCGGGATGGAGCACGCCGGGTTCTCACTGCACCAGGCTCTCATGGAGGGGGTGTACTCATAGTCGTGCATGCCGTAGTCGTTAGACCATTGACCTCGCATCCTTGCAAAGCCGGGATGGAGCACGCCGGGTTCTCACTGCACCAGGCTCTCAGGGGGGGGGTGTACTCATAGTCGTGCATGCCGTAGTCGTTAGACCATTGACCTCGCATCCCTACAAGGCCGGGACGGAGCACGCCGGTTCTCACCGGACCAGGCTCCCACATCACCAAGCGCGAAGCGCCGTGAGGTATTCGGCGAGTCGCATGAAGGGTGCGCTGCATCCTGCTAAGGGTGTTCGGCATCTTGTGCTTACTTCCTTGCGTACGGATGACAGCTGCGTATGACTTACTTTATTTTTTGGTGCTTTCATTTCCTGAGACAGTTGTAAACACTGTGAAACTGCCTCGAGGGTGCTTGACCATTTTAACACAACGTGGTGCGATCATCCCCCTTGCGCGGAGTGAGGGTTCTCCGCCCCGCACAACATGATCTACTCGACCACCATTATGGTTACCGCCAAAAAAAAAACGGAGGTAAAAAAAAAACGGTAACCTTGGTTGCCGAGTTCACGAAGTGAATTGGTTTGTTTTACGTCTTTGCCAAGCGACGAAAACCCAACGCCGATGGCAAACACCGGGGGGGGGCAGGCTCTTAAGGATGGGAGAAATGTAAGGTGTCCGCTGGCAGCGGTGACGCTAGTTTGTTGTGATTTTTGTTGTATTCTTTGGTGGGGATGGATGCGAGGGACGGGCACACAAAGGTCATTTGCCCCAATCTTTGCCCCAAGGGGCAAGAAGGTGTACTTCGTGCGATCGCGTGGGGCATAACCGCGAGTTTCTCACGCACACACCGGTGGCCACACATCACATACCCCACTCACACGCAAACGTGGCAGCTGCTGAGAAATTGTTTGTGGCATCGAACCTGCTCACAATGCATCATGTCGTTATTTGTGTCATCTATCATCATTTCTTTACCCCCTCGTATGTATATCTCACAACAGCAGAAAGCCTGCCGACCATCAACTATATTTTCACCTGCTGGCATCACTGATTATTTTTTTTCAGTGTATAGGCTTCAATAGACTCCAAATAAGCCCAGTACCCAGCCCGTTTTCCTCCATTCACTGTACAGACTTCCAACACATCTGTGTTTTATGTTTCCTTATTCTTTTGCTGAAGAATTGCTAAACAGGGAAGGTTTCTGGCGTTTCTGACTGTGTGTGCCTGCCGCTGCAGCTGTGGGCCTGATCGCTGCTCTGCTGAGACTGGCACCATTTTTTATATAATTCTTAAAAATTGATAACTAGCTATTTGATGCAACTCAACACGGCGTATGTTTGTTCGTCCCTTCTGTTGTGGCGCCGGTTGACGTATCAACCGGAGGAAGGTCATCCAGAAGCTTTTTTATTTTCTGTTTTTTTGTTTTATTGCCCCACCTTTGCCCCTGCGGTGCTTGCCTCAGTTTTTATCGCGACAAGGGTTCAGCCATCCCCTTCCCTCGTCGGCCGTCAAGCCGAAGTTTGTTTACTCACGACCTACAGGTTGCTGGTATTCAATCCCGGGTAAAAAATCCTCCGGAGAGAGAACCGAACCGACCGTGCACGTTGACTACTATACCACCTCTAGATGCTCTTGTGGAAGCATAGTAAAAGCCCGCCGAGCATCAACTGTAACGCTGCCGAAGAACTGAAAAGCACTGGTGCACTGGTTTGTGTGTACGCGAAGCAACTGCTGTACCGCGGCGGTTGTGGGTGTGCTCCCCCTCCTGTTGTTGTTGTTGGTTTCACCGAACCCCATCTTTCGGGGGAGATGCTCATACACTCGGCGACCGCCGCTTACACCCGCCCGGGCAAATTGAGCGCCCAATTCTTGGGCGGTGGCATCCCGATGACTCGAACAATGCAGGCGAAACCGGCGGTCTGACCGAAAGAGTCGTACACTTGCCGAAATCCAAGTTCATGCGTACGCTACAAGCCCCCCCCCTTGGGAGTGGGTTCCAGTCCACATCATATCCCTAGCATTGAAAGAATACTAGGGTGAAGCATCGCCCCCCCCGCCCCCAGTGGGCGGCGGGGCCTTAACATGGTAGAGGTCGAGTAGGTCTGCGAGAACGGCCGACCTTCTTGCTGCGAGGCTATGGTCGATGTTGTCAATCATTTAGACTATAGTAGTCGGGGACCTCTCCACCATTTCATTTCGTGGGTAATGCAAACTTCGTGTTCAAAGCTTTCATCCCATACAACAACCAGCACGCGAGTCACCAATCAATCCTGCATTCGGTACGGCAATGGTCGATACATTTACGTGTTTTCGTTCAAGCACTTGGGCGGTCGCCCCGGTAGTGGTAACCTCGAGGCATTGCACCCATACGTACGTAGAACAATATTGATGTTGGACCGGAAGAACTAAAAACAAAACATCTATGTTTTAGAAGGGTAGAACCGGGTAGATACCCGTCCTCCCACCAATAATTATGTAGGCCGTATGTAGGACAGTATGTAGGGCAGAGACAGATGATTGGTTGATGGCCACATCGCCGAGCGGGAATCCCCCGAAAGACCGTAGCACAGCCGTAGCAGCACATGACACACGTAGACAACACACGAGACAACCAGCACAGCAGCACACGAGACTGCTGTGGACCAAGGGCAGCTAAAGGCGCACATAATAGGAGGTCGGGTTCGACTGTCCGAGCCGGTTGGCTGCTGTCGACATCACCACTAAGCGAGGGAGGGGACACAGGTCAAAATCTGTTGCTGCTGCTGCTGCTGCTGCTGCTTGCTGCTGTCATCTAGCTATCTGCAGGCCGATAGTTTGAGCTTGCTGTCGCGCACTGCTGTGTGCTGTATCAAGCGTGCTGCCTCTGCTGCAAATACGTTTGTGCTAGAGCGCGTAGCCCTCTCATTCGCTTGCGGTAGGTCTGCAAGCACGGCCGACGTTCGCTGCACTTCTGTGCTCTATGCTGTCAATCAGTTCGGACATGTGTCGGTCTTTGCGCGTGCCTGGACGTGTATGCTTCGCAGGGGGGAAAAAAGTTGAGCGGGCTCAATTTTCTAGTTAAAACAAAATTGTTGAGGGTTGTCTATTTTCTAGTGTAACGACAGACGACGACCATTTCTGCCTGAAACATACTAACATAATGTGAGAAACCTTGCGCGCAAATACCTCTCTCTCTTTGCTGGTGACCCAAGCACAAAACTATTTCAGCGCGTTGTACCGGTCATAACACGAATTCCACATCTCGAACGGGCGCAGGGGAGTGCCCATAAGCGATGCACCCACACTTGGCAGTCCCGCCAATGCAGACCTGCACGAGCACCGTTTGACACCCAAGTACGACCTAGGTCAACTCCAAGCACTACCAACCTAGCACCTACCCAAATCAAGAACCAACCTACGCAGGACTATCCAATAACAAAACAACCTAGGATGATCGCGTCCGTGCCAACCTAGCGCGTATCAAAGCAATCACAACCTAGATTTTTTCCACCAACACTAACCTGGCGCCAATGCCGGCACATCAACCTAGAACTTAGCCACCCAGCGCCAACCTTGCACCTATCTTGTGGGTTTGGGGTTAGAGTTAGCTTTAGAATTCTTAGCCGGTTTCAAGCCCCGGCCTAAGGAGATAATATTTTGTTTGGGAGTAACGTAATTGCCTTCACTGCATACTAACTGGTTGCCCGTTGAGAGACAAAACATGCGCTTGTAGTGGACTAGGTCAGGGGTTCGAACCTGGGCCCTTTCAACCCTTCCCCCCCCTGCATCGGGTGCTTTGGGGGTTGTCAAGGATGTGGGTGCTGACGTCTGTGCACACCCCTGGGTGCATCCATCTTGTCTGCCGCATCTCCGCGTCCTGCTTGCCGCTTGCTCTCTGTACACCTGTGTTGTTTTTGTGATTTTTGTTTATCCTGATGGGGTGGATGGCAGGGAGAAGCAGGCGAAAACGCTATGGTGGTTGCTCATGATGCCGTTCTTTGCCCCAAGCACCAACAAAGTGTGCTATCCTGCGATCGCGTGTGGGACAGACATCACAACCTCGGGATAGAACGAGTTTCACACCACACGTATGGAAGCTTTTGAGACACTTGGATGTGGCATCGAACCTGCCGACATGTCCAACTTTGTTGGCGTCGCATCAAAAGTGTCACCTCTCTACCCCGAAGGAAAACCGAATCGATGATGATAGTCTGTGCGCCATGCCACGGAAACGGAAGGTTGGCATGCATCACAGCAACAAAGGTTGATTATGGTTGCGTTGTTCAGTGCCGGTGAAACTGTGCCTGGTCACTGCTCTCACGAGCAAGCAACTTTGAAACACTCGAAAGATACAAAGACAACTGCCTTTGTGTGTCTTCTTGACCTACAGTGTAATATCTCGAGGAAACGAAACAACGCCTCGTGCAAACGGCAGAAAACCCGCCGCGCATCAACTGTATTGTCGCTGAATGAAGAGGAACTCGAGAGCAGCACTGAAAGATGTTCATGTACGCGGTGCGACTGTTGTTTACTGCGGCGGCTGTGCTTATTCTCCCCGTACAGCGTTGCTCTTGTTGGTGGTGTCGCTCGAACCGCTCTTTCGGGGAGATGCGGTCACATGCCGACAGCCGCCTGCACCCACCCACCCGGGCAAGCTACGTTCCGGATTTTCGGCGGTGACATCTCGATGATCCAAATAACGCAGGCGAAACCGACAGTCCGGTCGAAAGAGTCAAATGCCGGCCAAAAGCTAAGTTCTTGTCACACAATATTCCTGTTCTCACACAAAATCGAGAGCGACCTTCGGGCGTGCGGAGTCTCGCCCTTGGCACACAATCCAGTAGAAGACATCATGGAGCCGCTGCATGCGCGTTGGCACGCCCAGATGAGATGCTGGGGCCGTGCTATCGAAGGCTTCATTCGGTCCCCACGACGAACTTCTTGCGACCGAAATCATTTCATTAGACGTCAGCGCTACCTAGTTTGTCCGAACAGTCCGCAAGTCTGGGTCCACATGGTCATACCGTTCACGATCCACCGCTATTCGCGCCGTCACAGACCTAACCCCTGGAATTGCTGGTCTTCAGGAGAAGCTCATAGTGGATCGTGATTCGTACCGTATGGACCCAGATTGTAAGGAGGTACTTGAAAGATTGTTTGATATGCGGTCTCATGTGCGGTTCGAGACAAGCGCCAACCTCTGCTCTGTGGCATCTCACGGATCTTTTGTTGCGCTACGCACTGGTCTCACGTGTCTCGTGTGTAATTGTCGGGTGCTTCCTTGGTCTTTTCCGGAATCAGTCAAACCCAACAAATCATGTCGTTCTGACCTCTATCCAGTATTACCTCTCTTTCCCACTCCCCAAAGAATAATCATGGATTTTCCGTGGTCACTAACCACAGTTGGTGTTTGCCGTATCAACCTTCCCACTGGAGCTCTGACCTCAACCACGCATTGTTCTCCCTACTCCTGGATCCAGGTGAAGATTCATGCTTCGAATGCAACATTTGCCTGGATGGAGTAAGGGAGCCCGTGGTGACGCGATGTGGCCATCTGTTTTGCTGGCCGTGCTTGTATCGGGTGGGTAGTGTGATCGTGTCGTGCAGGGTCTCAAACCGCTCGGGCTGCCTGATGGTCATATCATGTCTGCTACGCTACACAGGGCGCAAACAGCCAAACGTTCAACATGGTCATGTTTGATGTCCGAACACACCCACCTCGCGATATAATTCGAGCACATAAGGACCAGCCACATGTGGTGTGCCCGCTTGCCTCAGCTGTCATCGAGTGTTTTATCGCGTCATCCGTATTTTGTGTACGATACGTTTCTAGGTGTGTCACCATGATGGAAGTGTTCACTCCCACCAATCCGGCCTGGCTTGATTTCTGGTCTCTGATAGTCGAGTGAAGGCCTTCGTTCACATGATATCTTGATTGCGCGGCCCGTCTTCCCCTGCCATATCTCCGTGTTCGGGACATTACGCATTCGTCGTGCAGTGGCTCAACACCAACCAAACGGAATGTCCGGTGTGCAAGGCCGGGGTCACAGCCAGCAACGTCGTTCCTATTTACGGCAGAGGGGCGGAAGGCGTCGATCCGAGGTAGGGATGGTAACACTGGTCATACCTCCCGTTCATTCCTGTGACTGTCTCGAGTCGATTGCGGTGTCGATCCGTTGGAAGCATCTGACGCACGTTGAGGTTAGAATTCGTTTCCACCGAGAGCTCATCTTGAACCGAATTGTGTGGGTTTCCGCGAAACTCCTTCATCAATCACACCACGAACGCCGTTAAATATCTGATCACGACGGTACCGACGTTCGCATCGATGTGTCCATGTACTTTAACGGCGTATGATCGTGTGTTGTGTTGGATTGACGTATGAGAGCGTATGGCCACCACTTCCGATAGCAGTGACAACTCAATTGGCGATTGCCAGCAAGGCGGAGAAGTGTTCAACCGCCTCCGCAGACATATCAATCCACCTTGAGCGGCATCACGACGCTCACACGTATCTCCTCGAACTGTGACGCAGACTTCCGATCGAAAAGTCAGGTTGGTGTCGCAGTTCATACGAACTGTTTGGACCCCTTCTCTTTTGCGGTGCTGTTGCAGGTTTGGTGAAAAAGGTGGATGGCCACCGTTGTAGGCAAAACTCAGGAAGATGACAAGCTCTACCAGATAAACAATATGTCGGAGTGAACCTGTTTTTGCGTTGCCGAGTGCAGCTCGTTTGTGACCATAACCGGTTACACATTTTTTCGTCCATTCCCGCATACCGTGGGTAGTGTAGTAGCTGTTAAGCTCAATGGCCAGTGCTTGGCAGGCGCACCATTCAGTTATCTTGTTGATGTAATCGAGCCAGCTGTTTGCTTGAGCTTGGCTTGTGCTATACAGGTTTGATGGCGATTTACTTTGTTAGTGCTGACTGACAATACACAGCTGAGCTTTTTCGTTTGAGTGGTCATCAAAATGCTCGACCGGCAAGCGTGATCAGGTGCAACATCCAGTACCTTTGCTGTCGCCATTTGCTGCTATTTCCGACTTAGATGCCGAGGATATTGGGGATTCGCTCGGGGAAGAGAAAAATTGACGACATATTGAAACTGTTGCTTGATGATCCCTTGCCTCACGCTGGAATTGTGCTGTGCTCATCATATATCGGTCTTCCGACAAAGGAAATCCTTGGCGGAATTGTCTTGGAACCATCACGGCAATCTTCCATAAGAGACGTGTTGACTTGTTGGGTTGGATTCCAACATATCTGTGTAGCGTGTCTCTGCTTGATGCATTTGCCGACCTAAATCTTCCGATGGCTATAGGTCCCATGTGGGAGCCTTAAGGTTTCAATCATGATCACTTCGTTGCCAGGCTCTACGTAGATAAGACTTGTTGTGTTCCAGAAACGGGATTCCGCTCACCCTGAGCTGAATTTTGCAGGGCACGTAGAGGCAACCAGAAATAAGTTCATCCTCCACTGACCGCGTGTGAATGACTCGAAGGCGCTGGTGGGTTTTGCTTTTTGGCAGTGTTGTGCTGAAGGGAACTCAAAATGGGTAAGAAACGTAACATTGCGCGCACCTCGTTTTTTGGCAGGACAATACGCACCGAACGTAATGGTGTTCCAAGTCGGCCGGAAGCAGAACGTCCACAGGCAGCAAGACTGAGGCACGCCAACGCCTTCACAGGTGGTTTTGATGTTGGAGGGGGAGGTGGAGCTGGCGCAACAGGCGTAGATGGTGTTGGGAATGGTGTCGCCGGCGGGCATGTGCACTTCCAGGCTGGTCTTGGATTCTTCCCTTCATTGTTCGGACTTCAGTTTGTAAGTGGCACGAATTGGTGGTGAAATCTAGGACTGTTCGTAGTATCCTTTCAGAACGCCTCTGGGGTCGATGGACAATAACGAGAACAATCCCGGGCAACTCCGAAGGTGTGCATACCAAACTGTCCGAAATTTAACACTATATAACAACGGGGGCAATCGGACCCCGGAACGTTAATGGGCAATTCTCCTGTTGGAGGCATCCCCGCACACACAATACACACACACCTTCTCCAGCGGTCCTCTCGTGATAGACCTCGATGTCAGCATGTCAGCGGGCTATGGAACCCTCGTCCAAATCAAGGGAGTTTGTTCGTTAGTTTCCGAACCGTAGAAATGCAAGACCGTTGTTTAAAACACCACACAGCTCTTCATTATTCAGGACTGACCTCGACGAGGGATTCATTTGTCATCATCGAAGTAATGCCGCATTTCTCTCTTCTGCACGTTACATGCGAACCAATCATGTGCGACCGTAACAGTTCTGTGCCCTACTTTATTCAACAACACCCTCCAAAGCGGCGTACCACTTCAAAGGAGATCTCTGCGGGATCTTGAAAACACATTCACGACACTGACATTGCGTCATGCCATTTCCTCTCTTGCGGTGTAAATGATAGCAGCCTCCTATGTGATGTCGCCATTACAACGTTTTCCTTACACGTGAACATCAACAGTATTTAAACCATGAACCCGCCAAACGTTACAGGTTGGTACTACTCTCTACTGCAACCTAGCACGGCTGCTGCAACCAACCGTCCTCCCCACCCACCAACCGGTCGATCTTTGGGCTATAAACTGCTGTTGCACAAGTTTCCGAGAACTTCACTTTCTCGTCAAAGGGCTAAGTACCGCTCATCTTCGTTGCCACGCGCTACCACGCGCTTGTACTTCGCGTACCGAAACAAAAGACGTCTTGATGACGCAGTGGATAGCGTAGTCCCAAACTCGGGCGGCTTGTGGGTGGAGCCGAGAACCACCTCGCTCACCGGAGCAGGACTCGAGTCACCATCCGTAGACAGACACCTTGGCATCCGATGCGGCACTGCCGCCGCGTCCACCCTTATTTGCCTCGCCCTGCCATGTCCTGACCACTCCACGTGACCAAGTCCTCTTGGTTGCGTTAGTTGCGGCTCCTCGCCATAACTGCAGCAGATACCGAAGTTGATGGGAGGTACGTACTTTCCAGTCTAGATGGCTGTATCGCTTCAAACCTGCGAGCGATCTTCGAAGAGACCACCAAATAGACTAGTCCAATCGAGGGGGTTTGTTCGTTGTCTGAGGAGCCCTCTTGTTCGTTTTCTAACCTCAGATATGGGACTGTTGTTTAACACACCACAGCGCTTTATTACTCAGGATTGACCTCGACGAGGCATCCAGATGTCATCGTCGAAGTAACACCGCATTTCTCTCTTGTGCACGTTACACGTGAACCGACACCTTCATAGTTGACCTTGTATACTGCCGCAATAGTTCTGTATCCTACTTTGTTCCGCCGGGCCTACAAAGCATCTAGAATGCCCAAATAGCAAAAAACAAACATGGCAGTTCGACAAGCTCACGCCGTTCATCGTGTAAGTATGTACATACATATGTACAACAAAGTCTCATATTGCGTCCCCAAAACTAAAAAATAACATTTACCCAAAACAAAAACATACAACGCCCAAACCAAGTCATCACATTGCAGTGTGGACCATGAGGTGGGGATAACTTATTTGCGGAGATTTGCGGAGATTGTAGGCCTCTATTGCGCCCCTCGATGTCACCACCCAAGAATCAGATTTGAGCACACCAACACTCACATCCCGCTGCTATAGGGTGTCCTCTAGTGATATCAGTAGATTGCATAGAACCTAGTGCAATACCGACCTTGTTTGAGCGCCTGCCGTTTTTGCTCTATTCACTTGAATTTAGGTATCCGAGGCTGTTTGTATTGACGGACGACCAGGTCTTGTCTCAATACCACAATACCGTCGTTCTTGTGCGCACCAACCTCAAGAGGCCGAGGAGAGGCATCACACTGCATGTCACACAGCATACCACCTCACCCAAACATGATAGACCAACGGTTCTCACGGTGCTGTATTCCCAGCTACAATAGTCATCTACAAAAGACACCATGGGTTAATGCTTGTGTACCAAAAGGTAGGAACATGGGGATGTATTGTTTGCAGAGTTCTAAATATCACCTGCTGATATGTTTCGCGATCACGTCACTTCAAGTTCTCAAAAACACGTAAAGAAATAGAAGAACAGAATTGTAAATCCTGTCGGCCAATCACAAATAGGCGTTTCTTGGCAGTCCCGCGCGAAGTGATCCGGGTGGCACATGGAGGTGCGAACACATCGTTTGGAGCGGTGTTGACGGTGCGGGCAGCTCGGCCGGCGCTCTGCGGCGGAGCCCGCGGCTGCGGGGTCATGCGGAGACAGGGCGTACCGCGGGCTCCGCGAAGAGTGAGGCCAAACGGCGTCCTCTTGGACGCCAGGCGTGCTTCTGAAGGAATTATGTCGATTTGAGAGTTGGGCCAATTCCCCGCTGCTCTCTGAGGGGTCGCTCTGAGCCCTCGGGGCCGAGTGTGAGCCTGAGCTTTTACCTACCTCTGTAAGTCATTTGGCCCCGTTTTCAAGTAACAAGTGTCGAAACCGCTTCGCCACGGCTGCTTTTTTGGAGCTCTGAGCATTGCTTCGCCCTTGGTAAAAGGCAGGGTAGTGTTGGAACTCCTCGTTGTGTCGCCCGTACCACATATACGTTTCAAGTGCGCCCCGGACAGGCACCGCAAGGTTCCGCTTTACATCAATGTGTCATGAAAGAGAAGTTGGTCGTTTTGGCGCTATTGCTGGTAGAAAGCGGTGTAATCTCGAACCCAAAAAGTAGTTTTATCATAATATTGGGTGAGGCTCTATTGCGTGAGGCTCTGAGCCTTATTTTTAGTACATTGTTGGCGTTGCACACACCGGTCTGATATCCCAACTCGTGAATTTTGTTTTGTTGAACACCCACAACAACAGCAGTGTTGCTGGAACGGACGTCGTGTTATTTCTAGGATCTCCGTGGTCGTGGGCCGATAAGTCAGGCAATATCACCTCAGGGCAGACTGTAGGCATGGCACAAAACAACCGACATGGAAAAGACATGGTCGCCTCGGAACGAATGTCCATTGGGTTTAACTGGCCGTGTACTTTGGGCCGGTGGGGAGCGTGGACGATGAAGCTTGGGCAGCTTCTGGCGCGGTTCATGTTCTTTGCTCGCACGAAATTGGTGCACCCGCGGTTGGTAGAAGCATGTGATTGTTGCCAGGGCGCACTCAAGAACTCTGCAATCTGTTAGGAACAACGCGTCGCGTTGTCGAAACTTGAAAAAGTAGACTACGATGAAAACACACCGCTCATTGGAAAGATCAGCCGAGAGCAAATGCTTGGCCTGATACAGACGAGCACGTACTGTGCAATAGCCGAATATTCCCTGATCAACAACTTAATGCACATGGTGTTTCAGTATCAACGGATATTTTCCAAGTATGTGCATACCAGATTCCAGGGTCCAGCGGCACGACGTGAGCACAATGAGCTTCGTGCATTCGTGCTCAATCAGATGATGCCGTTTTTTTCTCTCCGAGACCGTTACGGTCTCTTGAGGTCTCACAGAACGGTAAAAAAATGTGAAAGAATGAAAATGAATAGAAATGATCACGTTCAGTCCTAAGTTCCGAACCACGCACGTTTTTGACCCGAACGCCCGAGGCGCGAGGAATAAGACCATCGGCCGTCCTTCACTACTTGAGACGCCCTCAGCAAGTTTCAGCTTGTTTGATGCCTCCTGCGTTAACGTTTGACTATTTCGGTGACCGTTCTTCTCAAGCACGAAACACGAGCCTGCAGCAGATGCATCGGCACCAAATTGGTCCGATCTCGACGAGTTTATGCCTAAACGTTGCCTATCCTCCACCAATTTGAAGCCCTGTGTAGTCTACAACTGGATTGACCACCCCTTCCACGCTGGCATGGCTGTGTGCCTACCAATTTTGCCTGCCAACGGGAGATTCGGGCCACACCGCTTCAACCTCCCCACGAGGATTTTTTTTCCGCTGCATTTCGCACGCACATCAAACAAGTTGACGACTTGATTGATGGTTGATGACTCTATGACTCCCTCTTTTCCTCGTCGGACAACATTCATTCATGCATCCATTCCAATCCGAATAGGATTGGTTTCTGCTACGGAATAAAAAAACTACTTCTATCATTGAAGTAAGTTAATCCGCGGCGTCGTTTTTTTACCGCATTTTTTTACCGTGACCGATCTCTCTCGGCTCGCAAAAGCTACGACCACCAAATCGCGGCGGCGCCTTCACGCGACCTCAACCTTGAGGGCCTTGTCGAAGGAATTTCAATCGAAGCGGCACCGATGCTAAACGCAAGCATTTTGCCTTCACCATCACCCCTTTGGCGTCTTCATAGTGTGGCTGCCCTTTTCCATTCTTGTCCGCACCAGAATTCTCTGAGCTCAACAACGCCACAACAACGCCACGACGATGACGACCCTGCCTCCGCACACCTTAGCCCTCGCCAGCACACCGAGCGTAACGCAGCGCAGCTAGTAAGTACAAACACCCAAATCAGAGGCGCCGAGGCACCTCTTGGGCATCCTCTTGCATTTTCGCCACGGCGTTCTGCGCAACCGAGCAAGATACAGCCCCGTGCGGGCCGCGACTCGATGCGCTAGGACAAATTACGCTTGCGCACGAATCTCGGCAAGGACAGTGGCGAGGCGATCGAACAAGGTAACGAACACCCTTTCGGCTGCTCTTCGCGCCCGATTGCGCCGCCCGTCACAGCACACGATTTTTTTTCCGCATGGACAACTCTCCAGCCTGCCCACCGACGTCCGCTAAACTTTGAGAGTCAACCATGACCCAGTAGACACAACTCTGTGCCAAGTTTCAACGCCGTCCGATTTGCACGCCGCCCGCGACAGCATTTCGTCATCCCTACGCTGACCTCGTTTGGCACGAAACCATCATACCACAAGATTTCGATCTGTGCCCATCGTGGCACTACACCCTACGCGCTGGTCATGCCTTTGGAACACCCCGCACGTCGGATCACTACGCGTAAGCAGGGTTTGTTCAAGGGGGAGACGTAAACTGCAACGTATGCCCCGGGGGTGTGTGTTTCCTGTCATGAGTAGCCCGCTGCAGCGTGTGCTGTGCTCTCATGGGCGGGGCTCGCGCACCCAAGTCACTCCAACTACCCCTGCACGCCCATTCCGCTGCCAGCTGGGAAAGTAAGCAGCTCCCGAAAACAAGCATCGAAAGGCCGACCTGTGCATCCCCTCAGCTTTGGCTATCAATGCCCGTGGGGTTCGAAAAACCTGTGGTGTCAAATGTAGGTACCAGCAGCCCTCTTTTGCCTTTTTTTTTTTTTTTTCCTTCTACCCCTTGGGAGAGGCATCTCATGCCCGTCGCTTCACCTTCCCACAAGCAATCATCTTGTGATACATTAGTGGTCCCTGTATCTAGTTCGTATGCAAGGTGTCGGCCGTGCTTTATACAGCTCTAGCGTACCTGTGTGCGTCACACTTTCTCTTCTGTTGCGTGTCGGGTATATGCCGGTTTTGCGTCCTTCGTTGTTGGGGTCATCGAGATGCCACCGCTGAAAAATGGGAACGCAGCTTGCGAAGTGTGCGGAAGGAACGAGAAAAAGCGTCTGTGTATACTTTTTGCATGTTCTCGCATCACCCCCTGCCGCGGTGCTCTCTTTACCCCGCTCCGGAGGGAGGCTATATATTATTCACTCAATCTCCAGCTCGTCGCCTCACAGCGCAACGGGGGAATTAGGCCTAATCTAAAATCGAGACTTAAGACTTCACGGGCGCGGACAGTCTCCCACCGGACACCGTCCGACCTCCCACTTCGCGGTGGCCCCTTGACGCCGTCTCTCTGCAAGACCCCGTCGTCGCGGGCTCAGGGCGCGCCGTGCACGGCGAGCTGCCCGCACCGCCAAAAGCGTGAAACGCGTTGCAAAAGGCGTCTTGTCACGGATAAGGTTTGCGACGCTGATTTGACGAGACACTGCGTTGTTCCGCTCCGAACCAACATATTTGTACCTACTTCATGTGGGGGTTTTGTTGCGCAACAGAGCTTTGGTGTTGTAGTGCGTGGCTTCCATCCAGCCTGCATGCACCGCCACTCGCTGCTGCCGTGTGTTAACTGCTGTCATCGTTGTGTTTCTTCCACCCACACCCATCCTCGCATACATCTATCTTCGCCGTGCAGGGCGATCAATACGAATCCGTGGGTGCTTTTATGTGTGAAGAGCTTTGTCCACTCATCACCAATCAATGCTGTCAAGTTGGTGCGGTTTCGATCTCAGCGAAATATTTGATTCTTGTGCGTGCGGATACGTACCAAGTACCATCCTATACCTTTCTGCTCCCGCTTTTTTCTACCATTGGTGTTTTTGTGAAGACGGCGTCACACTCATCATCTCATCAATTTCGGTGCGAATTATTGCGCTGTTTTGTGTGGTGTGTGCCATTTCTCTCATTATTTCACTCAATTTCGGCGAGACTCGCACTTCTCATCACCACACTCAATTTTGGGTGAGACTCGCACTATTATACTGTTTTCAGGGCACTCATCAGCACACTCAATTTGCTAATTTCCACAACAATGGAACGAGCATGTACAGCAAGTAGTCAACGCACCCAACATGCATGCTTGCGCACTTTCGTCACAACCAAAACCCACCACCAAGTAGCATGAACTATGTTTCGAAGACCTTGCCTCTCGAACGCAAACAGGCCGTAGCGCAACTCCAAGAGTCAAGCCCCGCCCCGTGCTCGCATTGGGTCACTTTTGAGTTTTTTGTGTTTTCGTTTATCGGTTCAGATTTCCATCTTACGTTTGAGCTTCGAAGCTCCACTTGTCGGGTACGAGTATGGTTTCCTCTGTGCTTCGTCGCGCTGAACAATAGTTACGGCGTAGACTAGTTTGCACATATCATGTCAGCACCGAAGAATCGTTCGGCTTAGACAAATACTATAGACGAGTCCGTATGTCAGGTTCTATGTTATGTTTCCGTTCTATCGTGTTCCAAGAGCTGCCTTGACAGCTAGCTCCACTTCCGCGAAAAATATTATCAATAACCAGCTCCACTACCAGGTCAAGAGCTTTCCACTTGGTATGCGTTTTACGTCTCTCATTAACTTTCGTGTCCACCCTACACGGAGGGCGGCGGAGCAAGCGAAGGACGGGGGGGACGGTAGCCCCCTGCGTCCGAGCCCTTTGCTCCGTCGACTGGAATAATAGACTAGGGTTAGTTCGATAGACTACTGCTGTACTGCTGATGCTAGACATCAGCTAAATCTGTCCAGCAGCTCCGGCGCGGATATGTATGTGAATACAGCTGGAATGACAATCCTTTTGATGGCTTGTGAGTTACCAGTTTTGCCTGCCTGGAGAGGTTCGGGCCACACCGCTGCGACCACCCGACCCGGAAGTATGTTCCGCCGCATTTCGCAAGCACGCCAACAACTTGACAACTTGATGATTGATGGCTCAGATCTCTATCTTCGTCGGAACATATCCATCCATGCATCCATTGTACAATACCTCCGATCTCGACTAAACTGTGCGTGCGAATAGTTGCCTTCCTGCCCGGGATTAGCCTGCCAACGACAGGGTCGGGGTACAACTCTGCCACGTGCTCTGCGTGCCCCGCGTGCTCCGCGATAGATAATTTCGTCGCCTTTGGACGGAAACAATATTTGTTTCTGTTTTCACGCGCCCATCGCCCCGGCGGTCTAGTTGGTATACTCGAAACCTCCTAAAGGTCAGGTCAGCGGTCCGAATCCCGGCGTAAGCGATCTTTTCTTGCAAAGTGAGTTTTTCTCTCGCTTCCGCTCCTGACCTGGCGGATAACGCTAGTTCGTGTGCACACAGAGGGAAGAGAGCGCTGAACTCTTATCGCATTACAAATCGAAGGCAACGTACGGCAGGAGGGGAGGGTAGAGAGGGGCCGTTCTGTGTGACCACGGGTTGGAGTAAACGGCACTATTATAGTGCTGTGAGCGGTGATTTGAAGTGAAGACAAGGAAAAAAAAGGTTATTCGGCGGCTCCTTCAGCAATATTCCCAGGTTTGACATCGGCTTTTCAATTCTCTACAGTTTTCGGTGTACCAGCACGCGAGTGGGCACCTTCTTCGCTTTTAAGTAAGATGAGTGGTCGTGTCGGTGGTTTCAACTGGGACGAGCGTTCGTGTCGTGCCCGTGATGTGCTGTACAGCAGTGTTGGCCGTCGAATTGGTTTTCCGTGGCATCACAGCAATAGGGAGCGTGCGTTATGTGACGTACGCGTGTACTAGTATTTGTTGATTACTCTTGCACCCGTATATGATGCGTGCGACATCGAACGCAAGATAGGATGCAACAAGATGAATGAAAGGACCTCTTGTCACCCGCCCTGCGGAGGCTGCTTATTCCGCCGCGTTTCTGCGTTTTGTTTTGTTCCTTGTTTTTACATGCGCGTGCATATAAATGTTTGTCGGCTCCTTTGACTGACAAAATATAGGCCAGCACGGTTTCCTGATGCAAGTTGCGATACCAATATTAAAATACCACCAGCGATAGGGATATTCTAATGCCGGGCGGCCTTTTGGGGTGTCATACCGCCGGCCTTGGAAACGTTGCGGGCTGAGCAGAACCTATGCACATCCTGCAGTGGTTTTGGTCATAAAGCCCATTGTTGTTGACTCGCGACAACCTTTGGTTGCAGTCACTTATGTAACATCAAATCTATGTACTCGTGATCCCTCCCCACGGCATGGCGGACAAAACTATCACACAGAAAGATAAACTCTCAAATTCAAGGCAGTTAGAATAAGCAAACAAGACCCCAGGATCGAATCCCGGTCTTGCTGCAATCACAGTCAGAAACGTGACCAATACGCTCATAAACCGCGCGTTGTCCTCTATATCGCCGTACAGGAAGGAATTCGAACCTGTTTGCACCATCATGGAGGGATGGATTAGCCCAAACTGCCAAGGGCCCGAGTTTATTTCGTTCTGGAATTGAAAATATAGCTGACGCATTGTGCTCCTTAGGAAACTAAAATACCATGTGTGGGTGCTATTCAAAATTGGAATACAACACGGTTTTAGTTTGTCAAACCCAGATTTCTGTGAGGATCCCGAAAAGTGAGAGTTGTTTTCTGCGAAAATATCTTGAATTGGTCAATATCGAGGCTTCTTGATTCTGCGGCATTATTCAAGATTCTACAGTTGTCCACAGGTTTGTGTGCTGAAGTGTTTGCTCGTTCGAGGTGTATGTAGCACGTTGCGCGCAACGAATGTGGAGATATTGATCAACTTGTGTGTGTTGGGCTGGCGAACGAACAGCACCGGATGTAGGTCAAGGCTTCCAAGGTGTTGATTGATCCGTCCTTCGACAAGAGTCACAGACGGTAGCTGCCCTCGGGTTCACAATGATAGCTGCGCCCGACGACGTCCCCTTCCATTCCCTCTCCTGAGGCCTTGCTCAGGATAAACCCCTGCGCGCATTTTCACATGCAAACGCTGCCCCGCTCCACTCGTCTTGTGTTGACCGCTCAGCAAAGCTTTACGTCACCAGCACGACCTGCCAGTGCTAGAGCAGGCGACGACGAGGTGGCGGAGATAGTGGATGGGAGTGCCGCGGTTCAAGTGAACAGAGGACCTAGCCGGGGGGCGGGGGCGGTAGAGGAGGCACAGCAGGCGTTCTTATCTCGACTATTGCTTGTGTTGGGGTCTTTTGTCGTTTTATGCCTTGTCTTGTTCTAGGCACTTGGTGTTCTGTTGTTTCGCGTGCACGTAATCCAACGCCCTGTGAATTACTCCGCCTCTGGAAGGTTTGAAAATCCAACCGCGTGGGTATGGGTTTCTAATAGCAGTTGCGTGGGTGGAAGTGTAGGGCAGCTGCAGCAGTAGTAAAACATACGTGGGCTGCGCGATGGGTGTCGAGATTAACCTTGGAAGAAAATATCTCTGGACCTACGACCCGGCGAGTCAATCAACTTGACGCCTCTGTTTGTGTTTAGGTGTCAAAACGCAATAAATAAAATATCTGCGCAAACGACCACGCAACGAGCGTGGACGTGCAATCATCACGGCTGCACAGAACTGGTCGTAGTCGCGTGATACTTCTGAGCACGAGCAACAGAAGAGTTGGGGTTTGTTAGCGCTACAGTATCCTGAAAAAAGTACTGATCAAATCCTGTTCTGAAGCTTGGGCCTCCACGTTTTGTCGCAGACCCTCTCATTCCGATTCCTTCACCCTTGCCCGGCTGTCTCAATAGCCGATCTCGACCTATGGCACACGGCTCGCCACATGTCGAGTATGCCTCGATAGGGCATCCCAAATCATAGCCAGTCACCAAGTGTGCAGTGGTGTGCATGAGAGTGTGTGCGGTCATGTGCGACCATCGGCCTTTTTTCTCTCTCGGCTTCACTGGTTCGCCGTCGTCCTGTCCTCGCGGCTCTTTTTGGAAGATTGGTGGGATGGCACACTCGCTTCACGCGGCTTACGGTTCTCGCAAGTGTTTCTTTTTGTCGAAAGGTTTCTGGTGTTTACACCCGCACTAGACCTAGACCACTGGTCGCCCCGGTGGTCTAGTGGGTAGCCTCGCAGCCTTCTAAGGGCCAGGTCATGGGTTCGAGCCCCGGCAGAGAGAGTTTTCTTTCTCACTGAATAAATCCTGGTCTAGGATGAAAGCGACGCGCTGCNGTCGCGAGGGAAGGGATTGCTGTACCCTTCTCGCGATAAAAATACCTCAGGCATGAACCGCAGGAGGGGGTCCAACCCCCCCCTCCTATGTGACCCCGGTTGGGTCGTCTAGCTAGTAGAAGTGGAGGATAGGGGCCAGAGGGGCAGACGACAGAGTCCAATGATGGGAGAAGAAAAAACAAACAACAACAACCCGCAGGTGATGCGAAGAAAATATATTCATGACAAATTCTGAAGCTTCAGTCTCATCGTTCGATATCCGTGGGTGGGTGGAAGTTTCATTCGCATCGGCAACCCCTTGTCCGACCCTGCCTCAAATGCTGATCTCGAGCTACCGTGCAAATCTCGTGGCGCCTCAAGTATGGTTTGGTAGGGAATCGGAAATCATGAGCCCTCCCCGAGTCTGAGCAACCTTCACCTCCTGTGGCTGGCACGACTCGGCCTTGTCTGTTCCTCGTCTGTTTCACCATGGGCACGGCCGGTTGAACAGCAAAGGAAGGTCCTGCAAGCTGCGCGCCACCATCTTTTTGTTGTTGTTGCATTTTGTGATTTTTGACCGTTGTACACATACATGCGGCTGCTGTGTATGCTCGCTGCCAAGCTCGTTGTTAGTAAGGTATATCGCCTGTCTCTTTGCACGCGGTGCTCATTACGTAGTAGGTAGCGATGCACGTCTCTTACGTTTCTCTCTGGGTCATCCATGAACAGCAGCAGTTGAAGAGACAAACAACACGGTCCGCCGAATGGTACACAACCCATGTGATCTTCTAACTGCGTAGACTACTTGTTGTAGCGTTGTACGAAACTTTGACCGATGAAGTTGATGGCAGCACGCCTTGCTCACGTAGCGGTGCGCATTATACACGGACGGCAGCGAGCGTATTGAGGTATAGTTTGTCCGCAGAGTCATGTTCTTTTTTGTTTGTTGTCCCTATGCCACAGGGAGGAAAAAAGGGTCATATTTAGGCCTGTCCTCCATCGGCCGTTTTTTTTTCCTTTTTCGGCCGCTTTTTTTTTTCTCTTTCGACCGCTTATTTTCCTTTTTCGGCCGCTTTTTTTCCTTTTTCGGCCGCCCCAATTTTTTTT